TCTGCCAGCTTGCATTGTCTCCGGGGAGGTTTTCTCCCATTTTGTCTTACCCTGCTCACTCCTGGGTCTGCAGCTTCCTCTCTGTGGCTTGGCACTCCGGCCAGGTCACTAAAGTCCTCCCCTTCCAGGGAAATTCAGTCTTTCCAGACCTGCTGGCTGGCACCTACAACACCCTTGCCACTCTCCAGTGGCTGGTAGGTGAGCCCAGACCCACCCTCTACTCTGGGTTCCAGTCCAGGGACCCTCAGCTCAGCAGTTGGGGGCTTTCCTCTTTGCTCACTGTTCCTTCCCTGGACTGCTTCTTAAAACGCTTGGTTTCCCCTTCCCTCCTTCCATCTCTCACACCACAACCCATCTCCCTTTTCCCAGGGAGTGACTGCTACCTGTTCTTCTGAAGCCTTCCCCAGCTGCCCCTACTACAGCCAGCTACCTGGCTTTGCACAGGTGATCCTGTTTCTAATTAGTTGCCTCCAGCCTAAAGCTCCCCTGCTTGCAGTCTAATCCAGTGCTTGCTGGGATAGTGTGAGGAGTTCACTCCTGTACACTCCCAGACAGGAGATAAAGTAGCTCTTTACCTATCTCCTATGTAAATTAAGAATTGTGGAAACAAAACAAATGGAAGTCTCATTTACATACAGGGTGATAGGACACCCTCATCCTGCCTCTTGAAACAAAAGTTATTGACCTTTGGAAGATACAAGCAAAGAAAAAAGCCATCTTTGACATCCCTTGCTACACAGACACAAGGGAACAGCTCTTGTAAGCTGAGAAAGATGGGCCCTTCAACCAAGGCAGGGATGTTTGAAGTCCCTGAAAGCTGAATATAGGTAAGAAACCATCTTGAATAAAGTCTGTATTTTGCTAGATTAAATTCTCATCTTCTAGATATGTTTTCACTTTTATTTGCATGTAACCCTTTCTAACTTTATTCCTTTTACTGGGCATAATCATTTACCTCATTATGTCCTCTTAATGCACTTGTATTATTTTAACAGTAAACCAACTCTCAATGCTGGAGTTTGAATGTAAGGGTGTATTCACACCAGCTGAGTTAATAAGCTATGATATGCTTTTGTGTCTTCAGAGGAATAAATGAACCCTATTATTTCCCTGAGCTGTCCTGGAGAGTGCTAGACGCTATAGAGCACACCATTTTGGGGACGTTTGGAACGGGACATGTGTTGGGGTCACCTTGCTGGTTAGAAGCCAGAGTGGGGCTGTGAAGGTGTAGAGAGGCTGCTGGGGTCAGAGTGGCTGAACCTGAGGGGCTGTATCTAGCACACAAACGTTTCAGCATGTGACTTGCTGGCTGGTTGTGAGCATCCCAGGCTGGGAGCTACAGTAGCAAAGCATTGTAAGGCACCCAGAGTTGCAGGACAAGTGTTGACACAACCCCTCACAGGGCTGGATTGCATCCTGAACCCGTTTCAGAGTAGCAGCCGCATTAGCCTGTATTTGTAAAAAGAAAAGGAGGACTTGTGGCACCTTAGAGACTAACACATTTATTTGAGCATAAGCTTTTGTGAGCTATAGCTCACTTCATTGGATGCATTCAGTGGAAAATACAGTGGGGAGATTTATATACATAGAGAACATGAAACAATGGGTGTTACCATGCACACTGTAACCCGGTGACAGATATTTAATAAAATATCCCCCATTTCCCTTTATGTAGTTGCTTGACTTTGTAATTGATGATTTATACATACTGGGCCATGTTCACCTTTTAGTGAACAACATAGGCTCCATAGAAGTCATTGCACTACAGCAATGTGTCCTGCTATGTTTAATAAAGTTGTAACTTTCATAGTCTCATAGGAGCACTCATTTGAGGGAAGGAAGGTTGACAGAGTAACCTAATCCTTTGAAAAGTGAGTGCCTGTGCTCATAATATGTCTTTGTCTTTATCCTCAGCACCCCTCTGAAAGGTACTTTTATACCTATTCTTCAAATAGTTTCTCTGGGCCTTAGTTCTCTAAGGTCCAGATTTGTAAAAGTGTTTAGGTATTGCTCTGCTCATCATTGTAAGGCACTCAGTAGCTTAATGGGGGGGAAGGATCCGAATTTACATTGCACTCCCCATCGGTATTTGGCCCAAACCAGGGAAGCTAATGATCTCACTGGCAGACCGAATTTGGTGATGAATCCTGGTCACGTGTCACCTGCGGCCTGTTGCACGTATGCTAAGGAGAAGTGGCCTAATCCCCACTGAGTCCGTGGGACTCCTGAGGGCTTAAGTCACTTTTGAAAATGGGAGTTAGCCATGGGAATCACTTTGGCCTTGCAACACTGAGCAGAACAATGCCTAAATATCTTTAACAATGTGGACCTAACTGTATTGTCCAAGGTCACCCAGGAAGACTGTGGTGGAGCAGGAGTTGTCTTTCAAGTTGCAGGCTAGTGTCCCAGCTACTGGATCATATGTCCAGGGATATATTAAACCTGGCGGATTTGGTTGTTAAGACTTAGGTGCCTTGAATTCTGTGGTAATGGGTGTGACAGGACTGTAAAGCATAAACCTGAATTATGTTTAATCTTGATTCCATTGGTTTCACCTGTAATCGTTTCTTGGGGGATAAATATCCTAACCTTTGGCTCATACTGATTAATACAAGGTCTTGGTTACTAAAGTTCAACTCCATATTTGTATGAAGGATGAGACCCTTGCCATTGCATGTATCACTGAAACCTGACTAGACAATATTGCAGAATTTGTTTTGGCACAGTTGGTGCTAACCATATATATGGTGCAGCTTATATCTAAGGGAAGACAGGCAACAAGGTGGTGGTAATATGCTGTTTGCGTCCATCCCAGAGTTCAGATAGTCTCCTTTCCCAAAGCTGGGCTGAATAGTTTGTTCACTCTGTTAGTCCCAGGATGGAATGATGATGGGATTGGTTTTGATACATTAATTACCTTGTTGCACTCTAAAGTCCCGCCTTGAGCTGCTGTAAATATTGGTTAATACCGCCATCTAGTGGACATGCACCAAGATTAAAAAAATCTCTTATTTCCTACAAGAAGTCATATAATTCTAGATAATCATGTTTCCTTCTTGCTTCCTTCCTTGTGCTCTTCTTGGATTCACAGTAAGCAGCTCTATGCACTTATTGTAGCTATTCTCTTGGCCTTCAATCTCCCTACCATTGTTGCTTCTGTTTTTGCTTGTGAAATGACATTCCTTTTGAACACCGTTTTCAATTAACAGTTAGTCCTCTCAGGTGCACCAGGACATCTATCGCTCTGAAAATGCTACATACCTCTAAACAACAATAAAATCTATTATGGCCCCGGCAATACAAAACCCAATCAAACACAAAAAGTCATAAAACATGAACTTAATCAAATAATTTATTAAGAAAAAAATTACCTTTGTAGTTATATGTGAGAAGCTCTGTTTTACTAACATTTAATTAACTGAGCCTTGCAGTTACCTGAGGTAGATTGGGACACAGGCAGAGATCATGGCCAAAATCTTCAGTTAATGGCCTCTAGTTTTGGGTGCCCAGCTTTAGACAAATATGGCCTGACTTTCAGATGCTGAGCAGTCACAACTCCCATTGACTTCTAATGCAACTGCAGGTGTGCAGATATTAGGAGACTGAAGCTGGAGGAAGGCACTCAACATTCGAGATCCACTTTTGAAAATAGAAAAGGAGTACTTGTGGCACCTTAGGGACTAACAAATTTATTTGAGCATAAGCTTTCGTGAGCTACAGCTCATTTCATCGGATGCATTTTTTTTCCACTGAATGCATCCGATGAAGTGAGCTGTAGCTCACGAAAGCTTATGCTCAAATAAATTTTAGTCTCTAAGGTGCCACAAGTACTCCTTTTTCTTTTTGCGAATACAGACTAACATGGCTGCTACTCTGAAACTTTTGAAAATGTGGCTGTGACTTGACCAAGAACAAATAGGAATAAAATTGAGGTCTCCTGACTCAGTTCTATGCTTTAATTACAAGACCATCCTTCCTCTGCTGCAATGTAACTATCAAACTGGCCTGGTCTACAATGAGCTTTTTCTTAAGTCTCCCACCATTGTAGTCAGTCGTGTGTGGCATGATGAAAGTGTGAGAGAGAAGTGCATTCTTTAGTCAAGCAGTACAAGTCCTCCGTGTAAGTGCAGCTCTGAAAGTATATCTTTTGTTTTGCCAAAACAATCTCAGGTCCTAAGACCTGTGGTCTGCGGTATAGCTGCATGGTCAACAATGCCTATAGTAAATTGATTTCTTCCTTTTGATAAAACTCATTTATATTTTTCTGAGGCAATAGCAGCTTCTGTAGCCAGGGACCCATGAATCATTTTCTTCTAAACTGCAGTCAGGGTAATATATTTAGTTCAATAATATCCTCTTTTTCCATTGTCCCATTCACTACATCATGTTGTTTTTAAAATGATTTTTGGAAAATATGATCTATTGTTTATAGATTACATCTGTTCTGTGCTCTACCACTACAAATCTAATGATTCAAAACAGCTAGAACAAAGTAGTCATAGATTTATTTTCTTCTCCCTCCCCTTATGGATAACATTATGCTCCACACTATATGAAAGATGTATTTTGAGCGCAGATGGAACGCAATACTGAAATTAGTATAAAAGAACCTGTCCCATATTAGATCCAAGAGGACTGGCTTTTCAGGAAAAGAAAAACCTGCTATTATAAGCCATCTAGGAATTGACCAAATTCCTAGGCTTTAGGACAGTGGTTCCCAAACCAGGGGTGCCGCTTGTTCAGGGAAAGCCCCTGGCGGGCCAGGCCAGTTTGTTTACCTGCCGCATCCGCAGGTTCAGCCAATCGTAGCTCCTGGTGGCTGTGGTTTGCCGCTCCAGGCCAATAGGGGCTGTGGGAAGTGGTGGCCAGCACGTCCCTCGGCCCACACCACTTCCTGCAGCTCCCATTGGCCGAGAACAGTGAACCGCAGCCACTGGGAGCTGCAATTGGCCGAACCTGCGGATGCGGCAGGTAAACAAACCAGCCTGGCCCACCAGGGGATTTCTCTGAACGAGTGGTGCCCCTAATTTGGGAACCACTGCTTTACGGTAATCACTGTGGAAAATGGGATGCTGTCTTCCTTCTAATGCAAACCCTCATCTACCTGCACCCTGAAATCCTTACATTGCTGTCTGTTGGTCCTAGGCCCATGAACCAGTTAGTGAGAAATGGGTCATGCTGGGGAACAAGACAGGCTAGGATGGAAGGAGGTGATGATGATATTTTTGTGGGGAGTTAGATAAGCTCAGCTATTGCATCATATTGTACATCAGAGAGACACTGGGGAAAAGTTTCTTGTTCTTAGTATGTATTTTAATATATTTTGGGGAACTGCATGGTATCTTAAAATTATTGTGCTTTCTCTGTCATAAGAACATACGATTTTACCATGCTGGGTCACTGGACTAGTATCCTGCCTCCAGCAGTGTTAAATTCCTGATCTTTCTGAGGAAGGCAATATCCATCCCCTTTGTCTTCAATAATATACCTCATCAATTTTGTAAAGCTGTAACCAGGTGATCAAGATCAGCTCTCATCCTGAAACATAAGCAAGATGTCACTTTTTCTTTTTTTCTCACTGCTATTAGGGTAAACCAAACATATATTAATATTCAAGTTATTTTATAAAGATTAATACCCAAAAAGAAGTATTGTGTATTTGACACATTCAGTATTGGACAAATAAAGTACAAAAAGCCAAGTAGAGAATATATACTGTAAATTTCTAACTTGGCAATATAACTGAATAGCATATAATCAGTAAAATAATATCACACAGAGTCCATTACAAAGCTGTAAGGTAACATAATGATAGAACAGCTAACTGAAATAATCCTTATGATGATGTAGGTGTCTGTTTTTTCAGATTCTGTCTTGTCTTTATGCCTTGAACTTTTTCATCTTTTAGTGCCTTCAAAAGCTTATCTAGAAAGGAATGGAACAGAACATTAATTTGTCTCTACTACTTAAAAATGTAAATACAAAATATTTTCATAAAAGAACTCTCACTTTCATGTGAAATTCAGTAAACCACTACAACTCACTGAAGATAATCATATACTAAAGTGGAAAAAGGTATCCACTATTTTGACACACACAATCCATTAATTTGCTCTTAGGTAAAGTAATTGAATTAAAGTTACATGTTACAACTTCTTTTAGATATTTTAGAGGTTTTGTATCTTATAGATTTAAATTTTCTTTTTAATTTTTGTGTGACTTTAGATCTCCTGAAAGACTTCAGATTTTCCTGCTAATGTGATTCTGCTTGGGGGAAGAGATGAGAATCTTCATGTCCAATCAATGATTGGCTTCTCTGCTGAGACTGCCAAAAATGGATATCAGCCATGTTTCTGTTTTATTCCTTTCCTGTGAACATTTTGCTCACTTGGAACTGAAATGAAAACGCCAAAGGCATTTCACCACTAGCCTTCAACATCAGGTCACTACTGACCTATGCTGGTTTCAGTAGTGATCTGCTGAGTGCTTCTATATCCCAGTACCAGTGCTAGGGCCTGTTCAGCTCTTCATGTCCAAATACATTTGTTAGTCTCTAAGGTGCCATAAGGACGACTTGTTGTTTTTTGCTGATCCAGACTAACACTACTACCCCTCTGAAACCTGTAAGAGCAAGGTAACTTTCCTTCCATCTGTCCCTCTACATTCAATAAAGGGAAATGCCATTTTTCACAGGAGGGAAAAACGCCACCATTTTGTTTCTGCCTCTACTCCGTTTTTCTGGCCAGCATGAGCATTTTCAGAGGTGGGAGCAATCCTGAGCACCTCTCAAACCATCTAAGGCTGTGAGGCTGGGAAGTTGCATGCAGTCTGTTCACAAGGTGCTGGCCTGATTAAGGACATAGGGGTAGCCCCCAGGGAGACAGCTCCTTCAAGGGCACGGATGCAGAGATGTGCCTGTGGAGGGATCGAGATACGAATACCCCTGCCCAAAGAATGTGGGGGGGGGGGGTTGGGTGAGGGGAAAGGGCGGAAGGTCCAGGCCCCTGCGCTGGGGGGTCCTCATGTGGGGACTAAGGGAGTGAGTGAGGGGTGCTTAGGGCTGGGGACGGTGCCCATGCCTCAGCTAGTGGGTAGCGACCGCTGCAGCCCAGGACCCGCCGTGATCCAGAGGATTTGGGCGGGGCACTGGGGGCCGGGGCCAGGCCCGGCGGGGGCCTGTGCTCGTGCTCTGGGCAGCAGGCGAGGGTAGCTTGTGGGTGGCTTAGCGGGGCCGGGCCGGGGGTAGCAGCCCCGCTCCGGGCCGGCCCTGCCCGCACACGCACACTGCTGCGGGTCGGAGCCGTCCCCGGTCAGCGCCAGCAGCTCCAGCTCCTTGAGGCGGATGCCCAGCTCGCAGATCTCCCCGTCCGGCGGCGGCGGCTGCTGCTGCCCGGGGCCCCGCGGGGCGGCGCCGCTGTCGGCCGCGGGGCAGAAGAAGCGCAGCGGCTCGTAGGGGATGGGGGCCAGCCCGGCCGGCCAGGGGCGCGGGCAGCTGCGGGCGGCGGCAGGAGGGGGGCCCAGGCCGGGAGGGGGCCGCTGGGGCCCGGCCGCGCCCCCCCGCAGGGGCACGAAGAGCTTCCGCCAGAGGCCGCAGTCCGCCAGCGGGGCGGCGCTGGGCGCGGCGCGGTCGTAGAGGGACGGGAAGTACAGGGGCCGCGGCGCCCGCTGCTGCGGCTGCTGGCTCATGGCGCCGCCGACCCCGGCCAACCGCCGCTGCCCTGGCGACGGTGGAACGGCGGTGGAGCCGGGGGGGGGGGGAGGAAGGGGAGAGTGGGGCGGATGGGGGCAAAGGGGAGGGGCAGAGTAGCTGAGGGCGATGGGGTGGGAGTCGGGTTGCCAACTCTCCTGGAGACTCCCGGCCACTCCTGGAATTACCTCGTGATGAAATCTCCAGGAATGCGTCCAACCAAAATTGGTAACCCTCGGTGGGAGGCCTAGGGGGAAGGGGCACCAGGTGGTGGGGCAGGGGGTGAGGGCACCAGCCGGGAAGAGGGATTCAGGGGTGGGGGCAACTGTGGGGAGAAAGGCACTGGACCCAGAGGTGCCAGCGGCACCTGCGTGGGGGTGGAGCCCCTTTGTGCCTGTGCTGTGAGAGGGGAGGCTTCATTCCAGGTGGGACATTGAAGCTGTTCCCGGCCCCTGCCCTGGCCGAAACCCCAAAGCTCAGCCTGGCACAGGGCTCCTCTGTTTAGCCAAGTCTAACTCTGGGTCAAGGAGCAGGTGCCAAGAGCGCCTCTTTCTCAGTGACCTGCTGGTAGGGTTGCCAGGTGTCCGTTTTTTGACCAGAACGCCCTTTTGAAAAGGGACCCTGGCGGCTCACTGGCCCGGCTGTTAAAAGTCTGATTGGCGGCGTAGAGGGGCTGGCAGGCTCCCTGCCCTGTGCAGCTCCTGGAAATGGCTGGCATGTCCCCCTGGCTCGGGGGCAGCCACAGGGCTCAAGCGTACTGCCCCCACCCTGAATGCCAGGTCCACAGCTCCCATTGGCTGGGAACCACGGTGCCCCTATATCCATGGAACTTAGTTACTGATAGCGATAAATGGCCTACAACAAATGAGTATCAACAATATTGACAGAAATTTGATGGGTATGAGATTCTGTGTTTCATCCAATATCACTTCCTCACAGAGACATTGTGTGTGTCCCTCCAAGGCCACAGCCTGACGCTGAGGAGAGTAACTTGAAAGGGATAATGCTCACAGAAACAATTCTGGTGTATATTGATTAAATTCTGGAAGGGAATGGCCATAGATAGTCACTACTGTTACAGATCACTTTGTGTCAGAAATAAGTTAAAGAAATTAGTCTGTAGAAGAGACCTATTTCTGTCTTTGAGCAGCCAACCAAGTGCCCCAAGAACATCTGGATGCCTAGTAAAAGTGTACTTTAAAGGGACACTTTTAACTTAAAAATTACTTTTGTATCCTTTATCGTTACCAGTAGCACCTAACTACTAAAATTTGCTCAAATGCATATGGAGCAAATCCTGCTACAACTTCCATGCCTCCTGAGAACTGTGCATGAAGTGAGACAAGGGATCTTCTGAACACTTCCTTTATTGAAAATGTGATGTTGCCTGTCAAGGATGCATGATAGACTCAGAAAGCAGCGTTTTTGCAATTACTTATTGAACAGTATAGTGCCTTAAAAGAATAGTCTTTTAGCTGTCTATCCCTAGGCCCACCCATGACTAGGGGGAAGTGGATTTTTGAGGGTGGGGGAGGACCAGGAGGGAGTTAGTAATGACATTATAGTGGCATTCGCTTTTAGATTGCTTGTTCAAATTGAACCCAGGTTGAACATGTCTGTGGGCCCAAGATTGCATTTCTTCTGCAAATAAATCTCCCATTGATGTCAGTGGGAATTTTGGGAGTTCAAGGACTCCAAGATCTGGAGTCATTATGTCATTAACATGAGATGGCAAGTTGATGGTCTGTGTGAAATCAGTCTGGTGATCTCAGTCCTGAACTCAGTAAACAGGTGTTCCCATAACAAAACGCCACAGATCATGTGGCAGTAATTGGCAGTCTTGGTGATAATCTATACTGAGAGACGAACCTTTTCCATGGGATAGGAAGCCTGAAAATTTTAGTGTTGTATCTGTTCTGTGGGTGAAAGGTCTTTAGGGCTTGTGGCCATATCACAATTAGTAAATTCACATAGGGTGAAGCTAACCACAGTGCACTGAGCTTGCACAAGCCCCATTGAACTGCTGATGTAAGCTTAAGTGTTGCATGGAGTCCATGCATTGAGGTGAATTCAACCCATCATATTTTTTCATTCTTTTCTTGAATAAAATGAATAGAGCCCTGTGCGGATTCACAAATGTATATCCGCATCCTATCCGCAGAAATTATCTGCAGATATCCTCATCCGTGGATGCAGATATCTGTGGATTTGAAGGGCTCTACACTGGGGGCCACACTGAGCCTCTGAGGCATCCCCACCCCCCACCCACCAGAGCTCAGTTGGGGAGAGCTGCAGGCAGCTGTGGGGAGCCTGAACGGAGTCGCGGACTCTCCACCTGCCCTCGGCCGGCCAGGGAGCCTTGGGGGCAGGGACATAGCTGGGGGGGTTGCTCTCAGCCCCCCGTCTCCCCACGCACAGCGGGCCAGTGGGAGAGGGGAGACCTGTGGAGCTGCCCGGGCTGCTGCTCGGGCCCCCCGCCCAGGGCAGGTGGCGGGTCCACTGCGGCTCCCCACAGTTGCTCGTCCGGCTCTTATCATTGCTGGGCTGTGGCTCCACGCCGCCCCCTCCCCGGCCGGAGCAGGGTCAGGGAAAGCTGCACTGGCAGCTGTGGGGAGCTGTGACGGACCCTCCATCTGCCCTGGGCGGGGGCCCAAGCAACGCCCGGGCAGTGTCCCAGCCCCCCGCCCAGGGCAGGTGGAGGGACCCAGGCTCTCCACAGCTGCCAGCGCAGCTCTCCTGGACCCATCTGTGGCCAGGGAGGGGAGTGGCTCGGAGCCGCAGCCCAACCATGGTAAGAGCCAGGCGGGCAGCTGGGTAGAGTTGCAGCAGACCCTCCACCTGCCCTGGATGGGGAGCCCGAGCAGCCCCCGGCACGTGTCCCTGCCCCCCAGCCCCTCCGTCCAGGGCAGGTGGAGGGACCCAGGCTCCCCACAGCTGCCAGCGCAGCTCTCCCCGACCCGCCTCTGGCTGGGGAGGGGGGGTGGCTCGGAGCTGCAGCCCCTAGTCACAGTAAAAGCTGGGCAGGCAGCTGTGGGGAGCCGCGGCGTACCCTCCACCTGCCCTGAGCTTGGGGCCCAAGCAGCGCCCCCCTCCCCCCCGGGCAGGTGGAGGATCCGTGCCGCGGTTCCTCACAGCTGCCCGCCCAGCTCTTCCCATCAGAGCCCTGAATAGATACAAAATTTGTATCCACTATCTGCAGATATAAAGCAGATATCTGTGGATTTGCAAGGCACTAAAAATGCGTATTTTGATATTATCTTGCTAAAAACAGGCAGCTTTCTTCTAGTTGTAATATTCTGTGCTGCTGGCTAATATACGAGTGGGTGTTGCTTTTGAAATTTTGCAGATACAGACAGTAAATATAAAAGCAACTGACGGTGCCTTTGAATACGATTAGAAGCTGAAAGATAAAAGGCTGGGTTCATGCCATAACTTTATTTCCCTTTGTATTATTTATGGAATATATTTAATTTAAATGGATAATAAGAACAGATGTATTATGGTGGTATGTGAAAGGTGCTTCAGCTAGTAAAACTCTTTATTCTTCCCCAAGTGTTAACGCTAAAATATTAACACCACTCGTGTTCTTGAGGAACTGAACACATCTTTATAACTCGATTTTAGAAGGGTACTGGATGGTTCAGAAGTCTCGGTAATGAGAGAATCTTTACAGATTTCAGTCCAGTTCATGTTAGTAGTGACCAAAAATAATTTCTGTATGTTGGTTCTTGAGTGGCTTATGTGAAATGAGTCCTCAGTTTTAGCCCATTTCCTACTGGGCAGGTATCCACATCTTGGGAACCACCACATCACTTGTCACTGATCGGCAATGTCAGTAGAGATGCTGAGCATTGAATGGACATAGAGTAAAAACTACCCTTTTCTCTAGAGATGGTCATTCCCAGTTAGATTGGAGGAACATTGGATTGGTGGCATGCAGAAGCTCAAATGGTTGCACCAAATTGTCATTCCTTGACAAATAGATCTCGCTGGCTCCTCCATGAAGTCCATGTTTCACTTATGGATGTAAAAACATCTTTGCTCTGAGACAAAGTTCAGAATCTATCAAATCTGTATACTCTCTTTTGCTAAATGGGTCAGAAACATGAAACCTCTTACAGGCAGACTTGGAGTGGTTAGAGGCATTTCATATACACAGCGACAAATCCTGACCATAAAATGGTTTGATTTTAAACAAAATGTCAGTCTGTCAGACATCTGGCTTTCTTTCATTCACTCGTATTCAAAAGCGGCATTGTATGCATTTCATCCACATTGCTAGGTTGGACAAAAACACCCCAGCACACCGTGCTCTCAATCTCTCCGTCAGTGCATGAAAAGGTGCACGTTGAGCCGACTTGATGCCATCCATGAGGCGGTCCCAGAGATCTGTGGATTTGCAGGACTGTGCTGGATTTGGGAACTCCACAATGCCTGGGGTGAAGCCATCAACTGTGGCCACTGTGGCTGGTGCAGTGGTCCTCAATAAACTTACTGTGTTTCATGATGAAATTAAATAATAGTCCTTTTATTTTGTCACTATTTGTGTGTTTGGCTCTGACGTCATAAAAGTATTCTAAGGAATTTACTGTAAATCTGACACAGGATACATGTACATATGATACACAAAGAAAAGGAGTACTTGTGGCACCTTAGAGACTAACACATTTACAGTGAGCATAAGCTTTTGTGAATTGGTTAGTCTCTAAGGTGCCACAAGTACTCCTTTTCTTTTTGCCAATACAGACTAACACGGCTGCTACTCTGAAACCTGTCAATATGATACAGATTCTTTTTTTTTAAAATCCCTCTGTCTCTTACATATTATCGAAAGCCCACATGGAATAAATGTTTTAATATGATTTAAGAATGATTATATGGATATCAAGACTATCCAGAGCTATCATAATTACTGATAAAATTTTTGTAAGGGATATTAACCTTGTGCTTCAGGGCTTAAGCCAGTCTCCAAGTATTAGGGATCAGGATGAGAAATAAT